CAAGAAAATTGGAAACACAAATAATCCTACCCAGTAGTAGTTAGAATGGATGAAATATATGAATTCGCCCTATCTACATAAACACATCCACTAGGGCATAGAGCAGTGAAGGTAACCAATAAATGAATACAAAATGGTAAAATACAAGTTTCACTCCTTTACCCTATTCGTTTTCGGTATAACATTAATAACCACTCAGTGTTGGGACAAGAAAAGGAAAGGAAAAATTTATTTTACTTTCACTGCCAAAATTGTGTTAGATGCCTTCTCCACCTTCCTAGATTAGAAACTTTTCCAGGGGAGCTCCCTGAGTCCCCACAGCCACTAGTACTCTCTAAAATCCTGGCTACGCCACTGGCTCCACTTGGTCAGTGGCAGCCATAGAGCTCCCGTGTCTTGAAACATTAAAAATACAAATTGGATATCACAAGGTTTGCTTCTTAGTCCCTCTCTTTTCTCTAAAATCGTAAACGACCTTGAGGTTTTTTCTGCTCAGTGTCAGAAAGTCACCCAATGAAGTATTTGATTTCAGAAATCCAAACTGTTTTCATAAGGGTTATTTTACCTTCCATAACAAATATTTCTACCAGATCAAGGCAAAGTGAGAAATGCCACAAGGTGAACGAACCTAGATGCGGAAATTTGATGTGAAATGAATCGAGAACCAAATGTTGCGGAGTTTGATTCTGCCTCATCATTATTTCTTTTTGAGAATTCACCTTCATCTCTGGCTGATGTACATCAAATTAGACCAAATCTGGAGTAAATATGATTATAACTATCTTGGGCAGTTATCTTGCGACATTTCGACCTTAGTAATCTTGCTATTTTAAAACAATATTAGTTAAAATTGTTCGAAAAAAGTTCAGAATTCTTCTTTTCCTATTTTATACACATATCGTTCGTTTAATTGCTGTGTAAACTTTCAACGTTTCGACAATTTCACTCTTGCCATTTATCATTAATACTGAATAAATTAATTTATTCTTTCTGAATTTCGAACTAACACTTTGTCTTATGGTATATTACATAAAGTTGAAATATTTCTGCTTCAAATCTTACCTGTAACGTCTTTCAAATTGTGTCGTTCCTTCGACAAATGTTTCCTTTACTGTTTCGAAGTACAATTTTGTTCACAGTGACAGAAATATAACAAAACTGACCCCTAACTGGTTTTTATTTAAGTTTTATTGAGCAGGGCAGGGTTTAAACCACGTATTGGGCAATAAAAATACTCAAATTTAACCTCATACCTGAAGAATGTAAACAAACCAGATACCATTAGCGTGTAGGAGTTGTATTGAACTTGTGTGTCTGGACAATCAAATATAGATAAAAATAAATATAATAATTAAAAGTGACTGGATGATCTTTATCAAGGAATTTTCACGTCATTTCGTCCATCACACCTTTATCAATGGTCATTCATAAACAGCACGCGCATTTTGGAAATAGTTTCTTGAAAACGTCACAGAAAACACTTACAACGTCATCAGTGTTGATAATGATCATTGTTTTTCACTGTAAAATCATTCTAATGGAATTTTTTAATTTACTTTACTAAAATTCTTAGACAGGTTCATGCCAGTCCAAGACATGTGGGTGTTAATTTAAAATGGTAGAAAAATATTTTGATTTCCATTTTAATGAGTTTTATATCACACTTTTGTGTGTTTTTTAATGAAAACAACATAAATCAGATCGACCTCTTAGCTGGAAGCTCCGAAGCTCAAGTGCAATAGCTTTGTATCATTTTATTATAATACTATTGGATATCGCTATCTATATAAGGTATGTTCATCGAGTATGTTGTTTTCTCACTTTTCATGCAATGTTTCCAAATTTTTCCATGAAGTATTTTTTGTTCCATCCTCAGCCTGAACATTTTGAAGAATCAAACCCTCCCTTCCCAGAAACATAACTCAACAACAGAAATTGTTTTTGAAGCAATACGTGAAACATAAAAACAGTCTGGGTGTTGTTATTTTGCAAACAGAATGTGGATATTGACCACAACACCTCCTAATACTTGCCTGCAGGTGCGTGCTTAGCATATTTCTCAGGTATATAGCGATATTTTTAGAATTTTCACCAAGATATGATATGTTTCAGATGGTAGCAGCATTTTAACACACCCAATAGAAAAACAACGCATCAAAGAATCAGTTTGCATTAATGTACGTCCTGTGGCACCCTGTTTTAAAAGAGGAATTCGAGTCTAATACACTTTCGGTTAGTTGATATCCTTTACCCAATAATAGATCAAGTCGTTTTATCATTATCATTATCAAAAATTAGATGTACGTGAACAGAAACTTGGAACAGTTTGGAATACAGCAGGGTTCAAAGTTTATGCCTTGTGTTTTAATACAATGTGCAAATGACATTCAAATTCAGATTGTTTAATTATTAAGCTTTCAAAAACACGAAGAAAGAGAAGAGAATCTTATAAGATTTTTTATATTTGTCGTTTTCTGGAATAACCGATAGTCGTAAAACTCTTAATTTCATTCCTATCCATTACATTTTAGTTTGAAACTTGATGACACTTTCTAGTCTCAAGTATTTTTTTTCTTTTTTGACAGTTTTAGGCTGATGACCAGGGGCCTTATTCTCGAAAACTTAAGTAAGATCAAATCCAGATTTGAAGAAATACAGTAATCTGATTGGATAATAAAACTTAACTCATAATTGATTTTAGTGTTTGACCAATCACCTGACTGGAACACTAAAATCACCTTAAGTTAAGTTTTCGAGATTAAGGCCTCAGACGTTCGTAAGAGCAAGCAAGTTTCCAAATACTTGGATAAAGGCCCCAAACGTTAGTAAGAGCAAGCAAGCTTCCAAATACTTGGATAACTTAGTTTTCCCTATCATAGTTCTGTAAATACGATTTTAGTTGGGTTAGAGTATGACTGACGTAAAAATCCCTTTTCATTTCTTAGGTAACTGAGCATTGGGCAATAAGGCTAACTTCCTTATATACTACATCATGTTACGCCTTGATCATATTGTAACCTAATAATTTCTGAAAGATTTGACATCTTTGTAAGGCGTGAGCCATAAATATTGTAATATCCGACAGTTAATCAGAGATGGGCATCTCTCCAAAAATAACTCAATTACGTACGCCTGTGTTCTTTTAAAAACTACAAGACCTCGAACATCAAGTCTATTATTCTGGTGTAAATATAATGGAAATCTGGACATACGAGACTAGCTGATTGTCTAATAATTACAAAGGTGCTGACATTTTGTTTTTTTTCTTGTTATATTTCATGAATGAGTTTATGACGTAAAAAATTGATATTTTTAGTATTTTTGTAGAAATATACTAAAGGAAATATTTGTTACGTATTCTTTGAATTAGTGTTTACAATAGTCAACCCACAAATTTGCTGAAAATAGTGAAACGTTGTCTTTATTTATAACAGTCTCATTTTTCTAGCTAATTTAGATATATAACAAGCTTGAACAAATAAGAAATGGAATAAACTGAAAAATTGAGAACAATACGCACGTATTAATAAACCCAAAAAGTAAATTTGATTTCATAATCTGACTATTCCAGGAAACTCCCATTAAACTACGCACACCGTGTTAACTTTATATAGTTGGACGAGATAGTTTCTTATTCTTGAATGAACATTGCGCTCAAAGCTCGATTTACGAAGTATTATATACATTGAACGTTCTACCAAAGCACTCTTAAAATAATTAGCTGTGATAGAAATATAATTGTATAAAATTACCATGTATTGACTATATACGTACTTCAAATTGAATTTACTATACAAATCAGTGAGAAAATTTGAATTTCTCATATTGACAATGTTGTACTGCCGCATTCCAAACATTTTGTGACAACCCAGAATGCAAACAGTCGCCTAGCTCAATAGACAAAGTCGCCCAATTATGAATTCCCTCAACAGATACCTCTAAGTTTGACATTTTCTACAAGATTCATAAGTAAACAAAAAAATATCAAAATTTGAAATATTTTAAACTTGACCTTACTTATAAGGTCACTGGGATTAAGAAAATGTCATTGTCGTAAATTTTAAATGACGTATTACGGTGTTTCTAGCGAGACAAAACATGGTCACTATTCAGATAGAACTTTACTGTGTATCACTTTCAGAGAGTCCACATAGCTATTTGACGATTTTTGGTATATGGATTTGTAAACTAGAAATACCTTTCAGAGAGTCTACATAGCTAAAAATGATAGGATGGTATATGGATGTGTAAACATGGAATACCTTCGAGAGAGTCCACATAGCTGCGGGGGGAGGGGTGGGGGGCAATCCATTTAGATCTACGAACCCACCACCCTTAACTCATCTTGTTGCGCCACTGATTTTTATGAATAAAACCTAAACAGATTAGTCTGTGTATAATGTTTTTAAAAATATTAGATTTCTGTTCAATAATACTCGATTCCCAGTAATTAATTATTTCAATAATTAGATACATGTAATTAATTTCCCTCAACATCAGTGATTTAACATATTATTTATTATATTTAATGTAGCACATATCATACTCGAACATTGACACCGATCGCACACAGACCAGAATGTCTATGCATTGAGCGCAAATACTAAATAATCAGTGCGCAGTCTGTTATAGAATCTCCCAATCCATGATTGCATTAAATGTGATATTTCTCAATCTAAAATTCCACACCAAGACAGATTTTTCATAAGATTTTTGGAGTAACGGGTGTCAGAACGCCTAAGTAATTTTGTGTGATATTTCTATATGGGCCTAAAGTATCGACCACGGCCCATCCCGTGCTGCTGACACGTGTCGTGGATAAACAACTCTAACCAGGACAGGCCCCATGAAAATAGGGGCCAACATGCCAATATTGGTTTCCAATCTCAGCCTTCTACTCTACCCTATTGGCCGAGTGTACTAGATGTAAAAGTTAAACACCCCTTACAATACCCCTCCCCCTGCCCCAAGGGGTCGCCGATAGTTAAAACTACTCTTACCTGAGTTTATAAAAGACGACATCGCTATAGTCAACTTCCGGATTGATATAGTGCCCCATAATTTCTGTTTCTCTGTACACATTCCACGATTAACTCTTCTCTTATTGATATACACAGGTAAGTGTGCCTTATTAATGATATTGCCCTCTGTTGGTATGGTATATCAAAGTTATTCCACGTTATTGATCAACAATATCAATTATTCACTTTATTTGGTAAATCCGGTTTCAAATTTGAATTTAAGTTTACTCAAAAAAATATTTCCGACTTTCTCAGTATTCGATCAGTTAGAAGTCCAATATTCCCAGAAAAAATTAGTTCAATATCCAATCAATCAATTATGATCGATATTTGTTGATTAAGTCATATACAATTGGTATCCAATCACAATTTGATTAATATTTCCTGGTTGTTTTGTTATTTATCACAATAAGTGTGGGTTATTGGCGATATATCCTGGTAATAATCAGGTATCCAGTGATATACCACGGTAAAGGTATGAGATATCGGCTATATACCACACTTACAAAATCAAATACTGACTTTCTATCGTATGTAAACTTCCCTATACCTATACTACAGTCAGACTTTTATCCAATCAGATTTAACTAGGCCACGACAATTAATTATTCGCTGTTCTAAAATCAACACCATCGAATGAGGACACGAGAGTGAAATGTTGACTGTTTTGTTAGACTAGAACACTAGACTAGTTTTTTCCATTTCAAATTACTCGAAAAATAGATGAAGTAACTTAGTGAAAACAATTCAATCAAGTTCATTTTATTTCGAGAAAAGTTTTCAATTCTATAAGGTAAACGTATAAAGTATATTTCAATCAGCTCAAAAAAAGCTCCCGTTCAAATCTTAAATAACTAAGCTTATACATTCTACATTTCAATGAGCGCAACCAATTGTTAAAGGCATATAATTCAGTATAATGGTAGACCCGTTCCTCGCGTATTCGTTTCTTATGTTTTCTGCTGCATGTCAGTTTCACCGACAGTATTTTCCATTTAGCGAATATCAAGGCAAAAAAAGGCTCGGAACATTCGGAGCCAGTCGCAGAAATCAAGATAGAGCGTATTCTCGTACCGCCCATCACCGGACACGTAACCTCGACTTTTCTCATTTGGAAACTTAAGAGAACATTATTTTTTCCACAAAGTAAGAAATTAAGAATATGGTATAGGAAGACTTTCTCCAATATTTAACTACTAACATATTTTAGTACAAAAAGGCATTGTTTCTAAAATCTATTATTTATTACATCGTTACTGACCAACAATTTTCAAATTATAAAAGAAAACAGCTAAGTTTGAAAAAATTCAAAATTCCGGATAAAAAGAAATAAATCAAATGACTAAAACTTGTAAATTGTCGTTGATTTATTTGAGACATTTTTTTATTTGAGGTAGATAATTAGTTTGTCTGTGATATCCGTCCACTTGTAGCCTTAATCTCTTTAAGACGGTTGATAAAATGGACATCTCTTTTTCATTTGATATTTCAAAAACGCCCAAGTTTTTTTTTTTGTAATTTTCTAATTTCAAAGGATGTGATATTGACTGGATATCTTTTGTTCTTTGATTAATTAGATTTTATTCACTCTGAGGTCGGTCAGTCTGGACGTACATTTCCATTCATCAAGTCAGTCAGTCAGGGTTTTTTTTTTTGAGAATATACTCCATACAATATATTACCTTGCCGAAAAACTTAATTCAATTTAACCTCAAAGCATACAACTTTTCGACCCCTGCCTAAAACCATATTAATTGTAGGTGATAATGACCAACCTCGATTGGAATATATCGATTGATCAGTAACCAGATTCCACTTGTACTAACTTGTAGGAGTTGTTGAAAACTCTTCTACCTTTAGTTTACTTCTTCTATAACAACAGACAACTGTCGAACAGTTGTCAAGTTATAGGTCAAAGTGACACTTTTTAACTCAGAGCGGCCTTACATATTTTTCATTCTTCAGTGCAATTTAAACATATCTTCAACATGGATACCGAAACTATTTACTAGTGTTTGATGAAGTCGCCCACACCCACCTGAGAATGAATATACAATGGAAATACCTGGGCATATATTAATAAATATTTCATATGATTATAAAATACACACCCTGATTACTCTCGAACACCTAGACATTTATATAACGTTATAATCAATCACATGACGTCATGTTCGAGTCTACATCCCTATATGGATAAAGATATTGAACTAGACAAATATAATACAAATCTTTTCCTTTATAGATACTTTTATTCTTTTGAAAAATGTGATTTTTTTATTGGTAAAATTTTAATACCTATATATTAGTATAGAAATGAATGCGTAACTTAACAAGATCGCACAGCGTGAAACTCTGAGTAACAACATGTTTCAGATTCTGTTTTAATCATTTGTAACTTCTGTAACGTAGTAGTAAATTAGTCATTCTGCGCTTTCTTGTAAATATATACCTTATTTCCTTGAAACATTTCTTTATATGACTTTACATAAAAGCGCTCACAGAAAAAAAAGTCGTTCCCATAATTTGGTAATATTTCAATGTTTCAGTTTTTATGAAAGGTTTCGAGAATCAAACATAGACCTACTCAACGCCTGTGGAATCAGAACACTTCTGGAGGAGGATTTGAACCTACGACACCAAATGTCATGACAGACGACAAGGTACCCTTGTGTTAATTATGCTGATTACGACTAATGTAGCTATACATTTCCCTGTGTTTTGCTAATTCTTCCTTTAAATTTCCTTACTTTATGTCTTCTCTATGATTTGGTATTTGTTATTCTATTGAAGCAGGTCTGTAATTATTTCAAGTGACAGTTATCCCCACTTTCCCCTTTGAACAAATATAGGAAGCATTATAATTAGACAGTCACCCCACTTCCCCCTATAGAATAAACATAAGATTTGTTATATTGAGGTGTGGGTAGGAGAAATATGAAATATGGTTTACTGAAGTATTCTTCAACTATCACGATCTGAATTTCTTTAATAAATTGATATCTTTATCGAATTTCCTTCTATTTTGTCACAGGACAATTTCCCTTTTCCTTCTTTCTACTCTTTTGAGCATCTTGACTGTACACTGTGTGTAAATTCTACTTTAGTTTTTCCTTGGCTGAAGGAGACTAACACAATAGATGATTATTGCTATATCAAAAGAACGTTGACTCTTATATTTTCAGCTATTTCAGCCAAAGAAATGATACTACCACAGATAGTATTACAGAGACATCCTTAGTTAACATATCTAATTATCTTAACCTTTGATACTACCACAGATAGTATTACAGAGACATCCTTAGTTAACATATCTAATTATCTTAACCTTTGATACTACCACAGATAGTATTACAGAGACATCCTTAGTTAACATATCTAATTATCTTAACCTTTGATACTACCACAGATCGTATTACAGAGACATCCTTAGTTAACATATCTAATTATCTTAACCTTTGATACTACCACAGATAGTATTACACAGACATCCTTAGTTAACATATCTAATTATCTTAACCTTTGATACTACCACAGATAGTATTACAGAGACATCCTTAGTTAACATATCTAATTATCTTAACCTTTCATACTACCACAGATAGTATTACAGAGACATCCTTAGTTAACATATCTAATTATCTTAAATTTTAACTTGCACCTTGTTTTATTATAAATCTTTACTTTGTAACCTAGGCCAGTGCTTTCATGAGACTATGTTCTCATCACCATCTAACAATGGTTGTAAATGTTTTGAACTCTTAGTACTCTACGGTAAGTCATCACTAGTACCAACCCATATCCCTTGTATCGTCGATGAAGGGTGGAATACTTGCATCAAACGTATTATTCAGACCCTGCACACCATGTACAACTATGTTAAACTATTGCACACTGTATGCTCTGTATGTTATGAGTGACAGTTGTCTTCTGGGCGATTAGGTGCCTTGGGTTCGAATCATCTTCAAGATAAGAAAAGCTTCTGATACCACGAACATGGTGCTTCCGAAAGACTGCCCGGTGTCGGCTTTCAATTACTATCACCGAAGTAAGAGAAGAGCAAGCTTAACGAGTCCTTCACATATTTTCAAATTATATCAGGATCCAACTAACATATTTTCAATATTTGAGATCAATAATTCTACAAAATACAGTCAAACTATGTCTAAATATTTATCATATATTCTCGTAATGGCCTCTTCACCTTATCTACTCAAATTAGTAAAAAGTGAAATAGTTGTACTGGACGTGATAGGAAATCGTTTGTATCTGGCAAGATTTCAAAAACACCTTTAGACGTACACTTTAAAGAGATTAGAAAGATGTTTTCTAGATAATACAATCGTCTTTTCAACACACACGAATCTATATGTTTTAGCTTACATATTAAGTCGATGAATTTGGACAATTTACATGCAGGCCCGTAGCCAGACTTGATTGTTCGGAGGGGCAAGTAATATATCCAGAGGGGCAAGGTGTATGGTGTATGGTATTTAGTTCCACTATTGGATTTGGTCAGTTGACAGAATTTTTTCAGGGAGCTATCAATAGTTTAAGTGGTATATTAGTGGATTCCTCCAAAGATTACCATCAGGTGTTTCGAAAAGAGAAAGCATTGTCTGTTCGGAGCACGACACTCGCCACTACTAAGGTCAAAACCATGAGATACAACCAGATCAATTCATGCCTGACCAAACAAATCAACCAAATTGCAAGAAGCAGAATTATTGTACTTATCAAGTTCTTTATAACGACCATAAAATTTTTTACAAGACAAAATGTATATTTCCTAAATGTAAATATTAATAGACAATAACTTCTTATTCGATATCAACTGTTAATGCGATCATTTTGTACAAGAGTGAATATTTAAATTTCACTTGAATTTCGTTTCAATAATAAGATAGGTGTTATATTAAATAATCGTGATATAAATACGACAATAAAACTATGAGTCAGTTGACAGTTATTTAGTTGATATATTGGTAAATATTATTATATCTTGTTTGTTATGACGACCTCCTCACCCTGTAGTCTA